CTTTTGATACCTACCAGGACCATGTTTCATGTAACAATGACCTAAGGCCTAGAAATGAGCATCGATTGCATCCTATACATCCTTTTCAAAGAGAACGTAGTCAACCTTCAATCTGATGGGCGCTTCGCTCCCCAACAACAAATCTGCCAACTACGCAAACGGCCCCGCTTCACTGCTAAGATAAATACCACCAAGGACAAGTCCACATGTCCATAATGCCATCTATAGCCGCCAATCGTGATAGTATTCCACAACAGTCCGTGTCACCACCGCATATTGACGTACTATATCCCAGCACTAAACCCTGCCCTCCCTGGCCCTGGTCCCTCAAGGAGACAAGATGACATTCACCGACTGGGGCAAGTTGTGGCTCGCTGAGCCATCCACAGGCGGCCACGTCTCAGTAATAGAGACGGGGTACGTATTCGGGACACCGGTGCCCGTGTAGAGGGCCAGGGTGATGGCACCGCCAGAGGGGACGGATGCCTCGCCTGTGCCAGAAAACGTCAGGGGCGTCGAGCCATCGCTGGCCATGGGGCCAGGGACGACCTTGACGTTGGCAAACGCCGGCGTGCCGTCTTCGTCCACCACGATTTGGAAGATGTTGGACTTAGTCGAGTCCGGGGAGCCAAGTGTCCACCTGTCGGGCTTGAACTTGTTGGCCGTCACGAGGCCGCGGCCTTCGGGCTCGGAGCTGAGCGTGAAGGAAAGGCCCTTGAGGGTGATGGGCGCGGCGCCCGTGTTTTTGCCCTGGATGAGCACCTCGACGGCCGTCTGTCCGCCCTTGAGCGGCTTGTGGTACGACCAGTCGAGCTTGGTCTCGGGTGCGATTCCGGGGGCGCTGACCGGGACCGTACTATAGCCGAACTGAGTCATGGACCTCATTTTATTGGTGACGGGGGAAGGGACGCTGGTCTTGCCGGACGTGAGGCTGCGGCAGAGAGAGACGGTCGCCCGTGTTAGTTTGGGGGGTTTCCCACGCATGATATGCTCGCTCTCTGTGGGCGGAAGTGGACTTACGGTTGATATTCAATGGTGGCCAGGATTTCTCCCATGTTGCCAACGCACGGCGCCGAAAATTTAAAGGTACCATTTCCAGGGTACACGAACTTGGCGCTCGTTTGAAAGGCCTCGGCCAAGTTCGTCTCGAGGGTCTGGACGTGGGTGGAGATTTGCCTGGCAATCTCGTCCCGGATATTTTCTGCTTGGTTTGGGGGCGAATAGCTTTGCTGCTGCTCGTGTTGTGTTTGAGTGACCATGGCGTTGCAGTCGCTCTTGGAGCCGGCGTTGACGCTCAGCTTGAGCACGCCTCCCTCGACGCTATCAATGTTGATCCCCATGCTCCAGGAGGCTTCAAACTTGTCCCTGGTGTGGGGTTAGCGAGGAGCTCTTCAACTGGACACTGCGGTTGGCAGAAACAATAACCACAAAAGGGCCGGGTGTCATGTATGTAAGTCTGGGGATGGGGGATTCCTTACCTCAGCCATCCAAAGGGCCGCTGCATGGCATCGTTGTCGGCCCATTCGATGTCGTACTTGTACACTGACAACCCCGAGAGGATAAAGCCCTGCCCGCCGGGCGTCCACTTGAAGTCGACCTGGGAGGTGCCCGTGGCATCGTAGCTGCCGTACACGTTGTAGTCGGGGTTGTGCCCGTGCGGCGAGAGGGTGGACGTGTATTCAGACGTAAACTGGTACGCGGTCGGGTCGGACTGCGTGCCTGACTTGATGACGGGTTTGAAGACAAAGAACTGGTCGTTTGTGTCCTGGTGTGCCTGGTCGTTGCCGATGGCATAGCTCCAGGAGATGGTGCTCGTGCCGCCGCTGTAGGAGAAGTTGCCGCCGGTGGGGTAGACGATGGAGGTCTTGTTGAAGGCCTGCAGCATGGGCAGCAGAAAGCTCTCGAGGAAGAGCTGATGGCTCAGAGTATAGGTGCCGTCGATGCGCGGCCCGCCAATGGTCGAGGCCTGGGTGGTGAAGTTGCCGGCGGAGGCGAGCTGCTTGTCCTTGGGGAGTTCGTGGTTGGAGACCATCTCGCAGTACAGAAGCGCGTTGAGGTCGCCGGGCACCTCGTAGGAGATGACGGGCTTGGGCACCCCCTTGGCGGGATTAGTATACCCGTAGACCTGATGAATCATGGCAGTCGGCTGGAAGGTTGGTTTGAGGGGATCAACTGGGAGTCATGCATGTCAGCCGAGATGGCGCGTGGAGGCTGGGGAAGATGGCAAAGGACGGCGCTCACTCTTGTCGGGCGGAGGCAGGTTGAACTTGACGCCCGTCGTCGTCAGGCCCTTTTGCTCCTGGTCCAGCGCCCAGTGGTTCAGCATGATTTGCAGATCCGTCTCGAGATAGGGGTACTGCTTGATCAACTGGCCCCAGGACCTCTTGGAGCCGTCTGAATTGACGCCGAACTGGGAGTTGGCAAAGTCAAAGTCCCGCCAGTGCGCATCTAGACGGCATCGCGTCACATGTTAGTATTCGAGCTTCAACGGGAGACGCCGCGGGGACTCACCAGCCAGCTTGGCGTACAGGCGCTCGATGCTGTAGTCGCCGGGGATGTCAAACTTGTCGTGGATGAAGTCCCAGATGGCCTGCTGGCGCGCCTGCTCATCGGGATCGGCATCGGGCTCGACGACCACGCTCTGGGTCTTGAGGTCGATGGTGACGGCGAGGTTCCAGCCGGCCAGCGGCTCGACGTGATCCGGATCGTCGTCGTCGTCGGCGGGGATGGTGATGTTGCCGTCTTTGAAGCTAGTTGAGTTGAGGTTAGTTGTTTCCCGCACCGGTAAGGGCTAGGGTTAGGGTTTGAAGGGGGGTTAGGGTTCAAATTGCATTGACATCACGTACCGCATGACATACAGGGCCGACGTCAGGGAAAGATCGGCGCCAACGCCGCCGCCCAGCAGCAGGCGGGGCGAGTACAGGGACCCTTTAATGCTGCCGATGCGATGGCTGGAGAAGTCGACGTTGCCATAGTCGGGGAATTGCTCGTACAGCTGGTCAAAGGAGTCGTTGATGATTTTCTGCGAGACGGCCACCACCTGGTCGTAATGACTGTGCGCCGTCGCACACGAGGTCTGGAGGCGCAGGAGGACGTCGGAGTCGGTCATGATGAAGGAGAGGCGGGAAAAGGCAGAGAATTGGCAGGGAGTTTACTATCAATTGAAGTCTCTATCGACCAGACTACGGATGGCGCAGACGGCGGAACGGCCTATTGCCCTTATAGTAGACATGGACGTCTGTCTCCTTGATTCAATGTTCCCAGCCAGTCTGCCCGTCTGCCCGCGCCATGAATCCATATTGATCGCAGCTATCAAACCCGCCCCGGTCCGGCCGCGTAATGGATCGCACTGCGCCAATAGTTCCATTCCGACCTTGTCATCTCAATTGGCCCCGAGACCGAGCATCACATCCCTCAGCCAGCCACCGATCCCCAATTCTGGTCGTGTGCAGCTGTTTATTGCATTGACAGCTGCTGGTCTCTGGGTGGCCGAGCTGTGAGCTGAACGCCATTCCATGCGACCAAAGCCGGGATACCAGACGGAACATTGAAGCAACATTGAACCGCTCGGTGTGCAAGCCGACCCCTCTTTCCACGGCTGCTGCGGGAATCAATTGTATCAATGTGATGGAAATTTCCGGTCGTACGCGGGCTACCTAGGTACTTGTGTAGGTACATGTACGCATGTGCATACACGTACATATGTCTGGTAGCCTCTTCGTTACATCACAGATCGGTCAGCTTCAATGTTATCTATCTATCATGGATGCGTCTGCTGCTTGTGACATCTGCCGTGTCCGCCCTCGACCCACACATATCGGCAGTTCAGCAGCAGGAGCAAAAGTATTGACAATTCGATGCCACCACACGACATGCATGTCAATGGGATGTTGACGTGACGTTGACCTCGTTGAACGGTCCTGCCAGGTGCCTTCACAGCATTGCATTTGTAGAAGAGGGGTCAAAGAATGAGACTGGCTGATGCAAGAGTGACGATATCTGCATTCATACTTGCCACCATGGCCTCCTTCAAGGTCCATGTCCTTGTCAATTGCTGTTTTCCCCGCGTCATCGATCGGGCCCTTCTGGCAACTTGTCCGGCCATCTCGTACACCAGACACTACACAGACCAGTTGACACCTGGCATGGACTCTAAAGGCGCAAGTTTAAACCCGTGCTGCAACTTGCGCAATAAAACAAGTATCCCGTGAGAAAATAACGCCAACGAACCAAGGCCTGCTCTAGAGCTGTTCCCAACTCTCCTTATATTTAATTTTCGTTACTCATTTGATACCTTTTTGCATCCAAGATACCATTGACTTGCTTTATCTCTACATGGCTACAGAATTCGCAAGTCATTTCTTCCTGTAATTCCTGATACCGTGTGCCCAACGCAAATATAGCCATTTGATCAAAAGATCCTCCGGCTCAAGCAGCTGCCTGTATTGCACCTTGCATTATAGATAAGGCCTTCCTACACGGGTGACCGGCACGCGGCCGCAGCTGCAGTGCCATACACTTTCTCAATAATTTATTGCGTAGAGCGCTTGGAGACTTGCAGATGTGGTTGGTTTCTGCATGAAGACCTGCAGCAGCTGCTTTGCTTTCAACATCTGGCACAAAAAGTTTCAATATCCGGCTGCAGAGAGATGAAAGAGGAAGTGCCTAAAAGAGCGGTCAGCTATCAAGCCGGTTAGTTTCATAGATCAATTTTATGCAGCAATGGCCTTGTAGCTGGACCGCCACTTTGCGGTCGACAACTTGGACCTCGTGTCACAGCCGGCTTTTGCGAATTGCACCTCCGTAAGAAGGGATTGATACGCTCCTGTCGTATGTTCTCGGGCGTCCATCTTCAGCTCGCACGAGATAAAGCTTCAAGACTGTAAGAAAGAAAGGGAAAAGAAAAAGGAGAAGAAAAAACACCACCTGGCACTAGGTTTGTCCTTGCATTCCCAACTTTGCCGAGCTTCACTGGCAATCACAGTTGCCCCTGGACCGCAATGCCTTCTGAGCTGGACGAAAGGCGCTTGAAGGAGGCCCAGAAGCTCCTGCAAGGTCTGGTAAAAGACAGCAGAAGACTCTTCGCCGCACTCGACCGCACGAAATGTATTTCTCAGGCTATTGACTCGGTTGGCACTGGTGTTGGCAGCACTGCAGAGTCGCAGCGCCGACTCGCCCTCCTCGCGGACCTGGACCGGGCAGCGGCAGGACATGTCGAGCTCGCAAGCCTGTTCTGGGGGCAGAGCCAGGTTCGCTCCATGTCCGATGCGGCTCGCTGCTACAGCCTTCTGCTCGACCGCGAGGGAGCCGGCGTGGAGGACTTCCAGATGAGATTGTTTGCAGAGCAGCCGACGGCGACCATTTACAGCCTGGTAAGGGCGGGACACCTCACCGTCCAGCCGAAAACCATCCAAACAGCCGTGGTCAATTTGCTTGATAGAGCCGTGTCGTCCGGGTTCAACATTGGTCGCGACCCAGTCGACAGGCTGCTAAGCAAAGTGGACGGGCTGAATGCTGGGAAGAAGAAGGATGTCGAGGCGCTCAAGACCTTTATCCAGAAGCTTCAAAGACTGCAGGCCCTGGTGAGACTGCCGCAAGATCTCGATGCGCTTCTGAAGTCGTCATTCATGTCTGCGCACCAGATCTCCCACACGCCGAGGCACTCATTCGTTACAGTCATCGGCCGCCACGGCATTCCAGCCGCGAGCGCCGTCCGCATACACAACCACGCGACGCTCGTGGACATGCGTAACGAACAAGCGTGGACGGCACTCCTGGCGTCGAAACACGACGTCTCGCTCGCCGCCTTGGCTCGCCCGAAAGCTGCGCCGCCGGTATTGGCAGCCTCGGCAGCAGCCTCGACGACGGCCCCCTCGCCGCAGGTCACCAGTTACACAAAGATTTTTGGCGACGTGACCATCGGGGCCTGTGACGACTGCAGCTCCGTCAGCAGCCCGGCGGCCTACTTCGTGGACCTGCTCCGGATGCTGAAGAACACGCCGAGCGATGCCACCAAAACCGATTCACCAAGCCTCCTCGACAAGCTGGCAGCCCGACGACCTGACCTGCTGACGCTGCAGCTGTCCTGTGTCAATACCAACGTTTTGGTTCCGTACATTGACCTCGCGAACGAGGCGATGGAATCCTTCATCAAAAACGTCGGCAGCCTCCTGCCGCCATCGCCCGTCCCGATCCAGGGGTTCAACATGACGGACCAAGACACCAGCCAGGTCAGTCTCGCCGAGCCGCAGCATACCGACTACAGCGTCTACAGCAATCAGATAGCGGCCCAGGCGTTTCCGCTCACCGTGTTTCCGTACAGCCAGGCGCTCGACCTCCAGCGCCTCTTCTTTACGCATCTCAACGCATCACTGGCCGACGTGATGGTGCTGTTTGGTTCCGCGTCCCGCCTCTTGTCCAAAACGCCGACAACAGACACACTCGCCCTCGCGCAAGACGTGTTGCAGAGCGCGCAGGCAGCCGAGTACCTGGGGCTGTCCCCCGCCGATTACGTCGCCATCACCGGCGCGTCCATCTTCTCCCTCGACTTCTTCAAGGCAGTCCTCGACCCGAGCATGCAGCAAGACGCGTACAACGCGAAAATTGGCCTTTTAAGCACGGCGGCATACTGGGGCTACGAGGCCGCCGGCGGACACACGGCAGAGCAGCTGATGCTGTCCGAGGAGGACGAAAAGGGGCTGCCGTTCGTCAAGGCCCAGCTGCTCCGCCGGGCGGACATGACGGTCGCGGATCTGCTGGATCTGCTCCGGGCGCGAGTACTCCAGCGCCAGCTCGTGCTCGAGAACGCGGATGGCTCGGCCACCTTTTCCGGCGAGCTCCAAGACCTGCGACTGCGCCACCCGACGAGCAGCAATGCAAAGGCGCCGCTGACGGAGCCGGATTGTTGGCAGCTGCAGTCGTATATCCGGCTCTGGCGCAGGACCGGGTGGACGCTGCAAGATCTCGACTGCGCCGTTGTTGCATTCGGCGGCGGCGGCACGCGTGTCACGGCGCAGACAATCACGGCGATGGCGGCGGTGCAGCGCATCTCGGCGCTGACCGGCGTCGACGTGTTTCGGCTGATGCCCATGTGGGGGCCGATGGACACGAATGGGGACCGGTCCCTCTACGCGCGACTCTTCCTAAAAGGCAAGTCTGGCCGGCCGGACCCGGTGTTCGGGCCGGACGCCCAGGGGCAGTACCTGACGGCCGGTGCGGGTCTGTCGGCGAACCGCGCCCCGCTCCTGGCGGCGTGCGGGCTGACAGAGGAGGGCTTCGCCGCTGTTGTCGCGGCGGCCGGGATTACCAACGATAAGCTCGACCTGGCCAACCTGACGGCCGTCTACCGCATCGCCGTCTTCTGCCAGTTGCTCGCCGTCGACCCGGTCGACTTTGCGAGCTTGCAGGCCGTCCTGGACCCGAGCCAGTCCGCGTTTGTGAGCCCCAAGGCGGCCCTCGACGTCATCCAGCAGCTCCAGCAGTTCACCGACGCCGGCCTCAGCCTGGAGCAGCTGCTTTTCCTCACAGGCAACGACGCAGCTCAGCGTGCTAGGCAATCGGATACAGAGCTCCCCATCCAGCAAGTCGCCGTCGCCGCGTCGGACGTCATGGTGCACATCCAGAGCCTGATGGCGGCCCTGCCGGCCGTCGATGCACACACGACGACGGCGTCGCCAGCAGATGTTGCGGCTGCTGCGGCGGCACTCTACGACCATGAGACGGCGCAGCTAGCCGTGGCATTTATTGAGAGTAAGTTTTTCGCCGCGATGACGGTATTAATGCCTGGCTAATCTTGTAATCCTAGTGCTTCCCGGGACACCCATCACTGAAGATTCCACTGTGTACCAGAGTGTTCTACTGCCCTACTTCTCCGGTGACGCCCAAGCTGCGCACAAGGTCTTCTTTGAGCAGCCGGATCCGACGGGGACAGACGAGGAGAAGGCCATTGCGCGCGAAAACATCCTCGATGCCCGGCGGGTGTTTTTTCTGCAGCACGTCATCGGGCCGCTTCACGCGCGGGCAGCCAAGGATGCGGTGCTACAATCCGTCACGCCCCTTTTCCCAGATGTCAAGGCGGCTGTGCTCGGTTTCCTGGTGGAAACGGTCCAGGAACCGGGGTCGCAGGAGGGCGGGCATCACCTTGCATCCCGCACCCTCATTCTGGATGTCCTCAGCGGCCTCGCCTCGTCCAACGCGGCAGCTCTCGCCAAGGACTCTGCAGACGTCTTCTTCCGGCCCCCGACCGCAGACCTTTACCGCTTGTTCGTTCCCGACACGACTCTTACCGCCAGCCCTCTGGTGACCTTGGACGGCAACACCCTCCTTTTCGACAAGGGCACTGATGGGTGGACGTCGAAGCCGGTCCGTCTCTCCAACGGTCAGGCGTACAGCTTGCACCGCTCCGACGACGGCGGGCTGGCGAGCTGCTCGTACTTGACGGAGCGAAGTCCGGGTCGGCCGTTTCCCCTCGGCGCGTTGCTGGCGCGCGAGACGGTTGTCCTAGCGCAGACGGTCTTGCTGTTGCTCTCCCGGGCGGTGCATCTATCCACGAGTTTTGAGCTGAGTCTGGACGAAGTACAATTCTTCCAGAGCCAGTCGTCCAGTGGCAGCCTGTTTATTGACTGGGGAAACATCGATTACCAGGCAGTCCAGCGGGCAAAGAGCTACCGGGAGCTGGCTCGTCGGCTGAATGGACCGACGGTCCTCCTAGACTTCTTGAAGTGGACGCAGGTATCTGCCCGAGAGGGCACCCTCGCCAACAGTCTTGTCAGCGTCACAAATCTGTCTGCCGCTCAGATTGCCGACTACCTGGGGCAGAGGTTCGCGGGCCTCAGTGAACAGCAGCTGATTGACGTCTTTGCGGGAACGGAAGAGGTCGCACGGCTGCTGGACCGTGTCGCCTTCATGAACCGCACCGGAGTGCCCGGTTTGACTCTCAAGCTCCTGTTCGCGCTCGCGACGCCAGTGCCTCCGCCGACTGCGACGACCGACTTCGACAATGCGGACCAGCTCCGGCGCCTCTTGCAGTCGACGCCGGCCTCGGGCAACGGCGCGGATCTGGCGACGCAGGTCAACGGCGGGTTGCGGCAACACCAGCGCGATGCCCTGGTCAACTACCTCCTCCAGCATCCATATATCACCGGCCGCGGCATCACCGACGCCGACGGGCTGTTCGAGTTCCTCCTCATCGACGTGCAGATGGGCGCGTGTCTCCAGACGTCCCGCATCAAGCAGGCCATCTCGACGGTGCAGGTGTACGTGCGCCGCTGCATCCTCGGCCTCGAAAAGGGGGAGCAGGTCGCCAGCAACACGGTCAATTTCGACCGCTGGGCGTGGATGGAGGGCTACCGGCTGTGGGAGGCGAACCGCAAGGTGTTCCTCTACCCGGAGAACTGGCTCGACGCCAGCCTGCGCGATGACAAGACCGACGTCTTCCGGGCACTCGAGTCCGGCATCCTGCAAAACGACCTCGACAGCGCCAAGATTGTCGACCTCGTCAAGGGCTACGTGTACGGCGTCGATGCCATTGCCGATCTGGACGTGCAGGCCTACCTGTGGAAGAAGGTCGAGGACTACACTGGCACATTCCACTTCTTCGCTCGCACGAGGACGGCGCCCTACATCTACTACTACCGCTCGCTGGACATTGTGCCGAGTCCTTCGGGCCACGGCATCAAGATGTACTGGCAGCCCTGGTCCAAGATTGACGTCGAGGTCCCCGTTCACGAGGTCGGCGCCGACGGCAAACCGTTGCCCGTGTCGGGCTCATACCTGACTCCGGCGTTGTACGGAGAGCGCCTCTTTCTCCTTTTCCCGCAAATCACCCTCAAGACGGACCCCAACCCCGCTGCCAAGGACAATACCATCAAGACCATGGAAGATAAAAAGCCGGACGAGATTAAGCCGACCAAGTACTGGCAGGTCCAGATTGGCTGGACCGAGTACCGCAACGGCCGGTGGACGCCCAAGCAGATCTCGCAGGCGATTCTCGAGGTCCGAGGAGCCCAGGACACCGACTTCCCGGTCAAGGGGAAGACGCTCCCGGCTGCAAATATCTGGGCTGAGGCACAGAAACTCCCTGACGTCGCCTCGCTCAAGTTCTGGATCCGGTCCCGGCCCAGCTCCTCGATACCTTCGGGAGCATCGTCCACGGTCGCGGCGTCCTCTCCGGGGCCCAGGAGCGCTCCCGCCCCGAGCACCAGTATCTTGGTCATCGAGGTGGAACGCTGGATCGACGCCGGCGTCGGGCAGACACCGCGGTACCAAAACTATCCGCTTGGCCGGTTCGAAATGCGTGGATCGCAGGTCATCCTCACCAACCTCAGCGCCCTCTCTGGCCAAAACGATCCCTTCCTGACCCCCTGGCGGCCTACCATCCCGACTGTCTTTGCCAAGATGTCGTACCATATGGAAAAGGCCACGGACAAGCCGACCCCAGGCATTACCATTGGCCGAGGAGCGAGCGACAAGGAGCCGCTGCTGGGTATCGTCTCCAAGCTGGTGGACAGCACCCCGAAGAAGGACGTGGTCTGGACCATGTCGTTTAATGATTCCCAGGTCCGGAATGCGACCGGCTTCATCCAGGACATCATCACCACGGAGAGCACCATCTCGTATGTCACCTACCCCCCCATAGCGTCTACCAGCACCTTTGCTTCCGACGTGTTCCAGCACACGCTGGACCGGGACCTGGTGTCCATGTCCACGGCGTACGACGGGGTGGACCAGGTTTATGCCTTTCTCGCCAGCGTGCCTGCCGAAGACACGTTCCTCGCCTTTGGGAAACGCAACGGGACCGTTCACGAGCTCTCGACGCCCTATGCCCTCTACAACTGGGAGCTCGGCGCACACACAGTCATGCTGCTCATGGAACGGCTGCAGGTCAACCGGCAGTACGACCTGGCCCTCCAAGTGGCGCACCTGGTGTTTGATCCCACCGTCGACGGGACCAGCCTTGACCGCTGCTGGCTGTTCCCGCCCTTCAAGGAGCTCGCCGACGGGACCATTGACTCGGTCGAAGACATCCTGAAGCGTCTCCAGCCGTCCAGCGGCGCCGAGAGCGAGATGAAGACGAGCATCCTCGACTGGCGCACGCATCCATTCAACGCGCACAGCGTGGCGCGGAGCCGGCCGCTGGCGTACATGCGACGCATCATCATGAACTATATTGAGATCCTCATCGCCAGCGGCGACGTCTATTTCCGGCAGAACACCCTGGAGGCGCTGCCCCTTGCCATCCAACGCTACGTCGAGGCCTCGCACATCTTTGGATCGGCCCCGGTGCGGGTTCCCCAGCTCGCGAAGCCGACTTACAAGTCGTACAACGACCTTGCCAGCACCTTGGACGATTTCTCCAACGCCGCTTTCGACATGGAGCTCGACTTTCCGTTCTTCAGCGACCCGGCATCGCGAGGGACAGGCGCCGGGGCGAACGGGGCCGCAGGGCTCACTGGTATCCTAAAGTCGACGTATTTCTGCGTTCCCGCGAACCCAAAGCTGGTCCAGCTCCGGGATCTCATCGACGACCGGCTATTCAAGATTCGCCATTGCCAGGACATTAACGGCGTCGTCCGAAGCCTGGCACTCTTTGAGCCGCCCCTGGATCCGGGCCTCTTGGTCCGCGCGGCGGCGAGTGGCGTGGACATCTCTCAGCTCGTGGGCAACATCGTGGGTCCCATGCCCAACTATCGCTTTCAATATCTGTTGCAAAGGGCGTTCGACATTTGTGCGGAGGTCAAATCCATGGGAGCCTTGCTATTGTCCATCCAGGAGCGGAAGGACACGGAAGCGCTGTCAAACCTCCATGCCCGTCAGGACAAGGTGCTGCAGGAGCTGACGATGGAGATGAAGAAGACGGCAAAGAAGGAGGCTGAGTCGAGCATCGACGCGCTCCTCGAGGTCCGCAGGTCCCAGGTGGCCCGGCTGGAATACTACCTCGCGCTGACGGGGACCGACGACCGCTCGGCCCCAGATGAGACGCAGGACTGGGAGGACATCACGCAGTCCATCGAGAAGCCGACGTCGGATGATTTGCGCATGACATCGCACGAGAGGCTGGAGATGGAAAAGGCCGACGCCGCCGCGGATCTCAACCAAAAGGCCACCATTCTCGACATCGCCGCCAGCATCGTCAAGATCATCCCGGACATCAGCGAGGAGGCGGAGCCCCTCGGCGTCGGGGTCTCCATCGACTCCGTCACCAAGAACATCTCCGAGGCGATGCTCATCAACGCGAGCGTCATGCGCTTCCAGGCGCAGTACTTTAGCGACGAGGGCGCTCGCGCCGCGAGAACCGGCGCCCTCATCAGGCAGCTCCAGGAACGGCGCCTGGAGGCCAACATGGCCGGCCGGGAGATCAAGCAGACGGACAAGCAGATCGCGACGGCCCGCATCCAGGTAGAACTGTGCGAGCGTGACATCCAGTTCCAGCAGCAGCAGGCCGACTATGCGCGGGACACCGAGGCCTGGCTGCGGACCAAGTACACCAGCGAGGAACTGTACGCCTGGATGGACGGCGTCGTCCGCGACCTGTACCACCAGACCTATCTCATGGCCGACGACCTCGCCCAAAAGGCCCAATCGGCGTTGCGCTTCGAAAAGGGCGACCAGTCCATCAACATCGTCACCTCGCCCTACTGGGACGACGGCCGCGACGGCATGTTTGCCGGCGAGAACCTCTACCTCGCGCTCAAGCGCCTCGAGGGGGCATACATGGACCAGCGCCTGCATGACGTCGAAGTAGTCAAGGACGTCTCGCTCCTACAGGTCCGGCCGTGGGCGCTCCTGGCCCTGCGCGAGACGGGCACCGCCGAGTTTGACCTCCCCGAGGTGCTCTTCGACTTTGACTTCCCCGGCCACTACTGCCGCCGCATCACCTCGGTGAGCATGACGGTCTCCTGCGTCGTCGGGCCGCACACGGGCGTCAACGCGACCCTGACGCTCCTCGAGCACTCGTACCGCATCAAGTCGGACGCCAGGAACGCGCAGGACTATCCCCGAAAGACGCTAGACGACCGCTTCCAGACCGACCGCGTGCCCATCACCTCCATCGCCGTCAGCCACGGCCAGGAGGACAGCGGCGTCTTCGACCTCGACTTCCGGGACGACCGGTACATCCCCTTTGAGGGGGCGGGCGCCGTGAGCCGCTGGCGCCTCGAGCTCCCTACCGCCGTGAAGCAGTTCGACTACAATTCCATCAGCGACGTTGTCCTGCAGGTCAAGTACACGGCGCTCCAGGGCGGCGCTGCCTTTCGCAAAGCAGCGTCCGACGCGGCAGTCGCGTTTCAGAAGACGGCTTCCGGGCTGTCGAGGACGGAGGGCATGTTTGCGATGCTGGACTTGAAGAACGACTTTCCGGACGAGTGGCAGCGTCTGGTGTCGGCGGATAAAACGAAGCCCTCGACTATGCCGCTTGCTTCTCTGCAGGACCGTCTGCCGTTTTTTACGAGGGGGAGAAGCGTCAAGGCGGAGACTGTCTCGGTTCTTGTTGCGGCGGGCGCGGCGGTGAATATGACGCAGGATATTACACTGACTGCCTCGAGCAAGATTCCTCTGCAGGCTGGGACGGCAATAGGCTCGTACCAGGTGGCTGTGGCGACGGGGCAGACGGTGACTGTTGGCGACTGGAGTCTTACTCTTTCGGCTAACGCGATGGGTGCGAGTGTGTCGAGGATCCTTGTCCTGTTTAGATATATTTTGTAGGTGGGGGGTGAATCTTGAATTTGAAGTGTCAGGGTCGTTGGGGTATTGTACAAGTTAGTATTGCTTGCTTTGTGTATTTCATAGACGGCATTTTGATAAGTAGAGTTGAGCTTGAAGACAGATTGTTGTAGATGGATAAGGAAGAGGGGATTTTCGTCGGGTTTCGACTATGCCTTGTTGGTTGGCTAGCCAGAACTCTTTCGTTTGAGGGCTCACTGGCGAGCATGTTAGCCTGGGATAATGATGCGTGTTCAATGTAATTCGTAGAGTTTCAAGTCCGGTCAAATAACTTGTCAAGATAGCCTGATTTACCTACCTGTAAGTTCTTGGAATCATTCTATCAGCTATCTTTCGTATGGTTTAGATACAGGTCCTTATTGGCTCTAAGTGTGGGAGTGGCCAAGGAACACGGCCGCCAATGGACGCGTTCACGGTCGTTGTTTGAGAGAACCGAGTACCAGACACAAATTGGTCATTTCCCATGCTTGCTAGTGTTTGTCTGTTTCAGAGCTCTATGAGAGAAGTGCCAAAATATTTAATCCGTTGTATTTGAGAGAGACATGTTGAGGACGGAATTCAGGACGTGGAAGCTGAGCCATGGACAGAGGCAGATTGTACCACTGTGAATCTATTATAGGCGAGAATATGTTCAAACTTGGACATTCTGCAAGTACTCAATGAATTAGAATAAGCACTCTCAGCAAGGACACTGAATGTACCGCTAGTTGTGAGCCGAACCTTACAATAACTCATACAAGCAGACCAGACACAACTTTCATGAACCAACCGCGCATCTGGGAGGCAGTGGACTATTAGGCTTGACAGGACAGCGATAGGAAGGTCCCAAAGGAGAAATACCAATCATTTCTTGGTTAGAGGCTATACCTTCTGAAGGCCAAGGGGCGACCAGGTGACGAATCTATCTGGTTACAAAGTCTTTGGCATGTTCAACACTGATTGCGGTACGCGCGATAATCACCGTGTAAGTCACAACACCACAAACGGAACTCCAGCCACCATGCGGATAAAGACTTCAAATGAGTACCAGATAATGAATGAAAAATTTATGCAATTCTTCTAGAGATAAAGGAAGAGTAATGAAGTAGATATAAAGCGGAAGTTCACTCAACGGGGATTAGATAGTCTCACGGCGAAAGTAATTGGCCCATACCAGACTTATACGGGGCCCGTTAAAGGAATTAACAAGATAAAAATAATAATGCCCCTAGAATACTAGAAAGAGCGAAACTTGATTCATAAAGTCGGTAAGAATAAGGCCCTCAGTAAAGTGTATAGCTTATTCTCATGTTCCATGTAAAAGTTGTGTGTCTTTGGCCAGACTTGGTGCAGGCGAGAGGAAATAGTTGACGAGGCTCTATGCATGATACATGAATTTCTCTGCCAGAGATTTAGCAAAAACCTAACTGGTATTCACGGGTCTGGTTTATAGGGGAGCGTTTCCAAGCCGTATATGAATATTGCCAGGCAGTTGAAGCAGGCCTGTGACTCTCGTATGTAATTTACTTTATAGTAGAGATCTCTGATCCAACACGTATCACAACCTTACCAGTGACAGAATCTGTCTTCAGTCGCCAACGCTAAAATACCGCTGAGACCAGGGGTCGGGTGGGCAAGTCGCGTGGTTGTGTTGGTCGCACTGCTACTACTTTGTGCCGTGCATCAAGTACCCTCCTGGAAACCTCGGCGACCCAGCGCTTCTTATTTTTCACGGTTGGACGGTCCTGCGAAAGGGTCTCTGCAACGAGAAAAATCGAGGAAACCCAATCAGAATCCCCCAGGTCGAGCTCGGCCGTATCGAGCTTATATGCAGCTTGAATTTCTTCTGGGCCGCATCGAGAACCTCCAGCAGCAGCAATTTAGTTTGGAGGTCCATCAATAGGGTAGATTTCATATGGGTACAATGTAACGAATATATCTATATTTACAATGCCTATATCTGGGGATCCAGGGCGCACTGTTATAATCAGTCTGCTGGGTATTAATGTAAATTGGACCCTTCGCTTACTGTGAAAATAACCTCGAGCACTGGTATCGTCGGAATAATAAAGGACTCTGCTAAAATCAAACGTTCTCCTTATAATTTCCACGGGTTTCAGGCTCAATATTAGAAAAAAGGGGTGGCGGGCGGTTTCCCAGGCGTTGCCAGCACTAGATGGAGGTTTATGCCCTCTGTTACACGGAAAAGGCCCAACAGATCGTGAAGCCCAACCAAGGGGCTTCGCTAATACAGGATTTGTTAGTTACACAGCTAGAACACGTGCCTAGGCAAGGACCCCAGGCCTGGGCGTTCCTTTTATGTATATAAGGCGGTTACCCTTCTCTTCCTCTCTCGTAGCAACTCAAGACCTTAGAGACCCTTCGAGATTATTATTAAATTGAGCCCCTTTTGCTCCAAGCCTTCATACCGAACCCTTGTCACACCCTCTCATAGAGAGTGTTATAAAATATAGCTTCACGAGGGTTACTATAGATATTAGTTGCATAGTCTCTGCGACGCCAAAAGGATCTGCTGTTCTTCAGATCTGTACATACATACCATTATCGTGTCTTAAGCTCCTCTAACAAATGTGTACTTTTAGTAGCTTGACTTTTAACGGCTTGTAAGACTATTGCCACGCTGATAGGCAGTCACGATTCGAAACGTCAAGTCGGGTGGAATAAACTTCCTTAGCGACGAATAAACCAATATTCAATGGGTAACCTAAAAGCCACGTGGTCCCCTACTCACTTGGCCAAAGCTCAAGTTATGCCTTGGGCTACGTGCGGATTCGCTGGGCACAATCTCGTGGAGGTTAGAGACGACATTCTGGCGCCTCACGATGACCACGGACAAATACCCATCGACTATGGCTTACGCCACGTGAGCCACTATATTAACGAATCCGTCAACAACTGCCATAATACGTCGCGGATCCGAAGGAGCCACAATTTTCAGTTTGACCTTCGGAAAGTTCCTCTATACGCCTCTCGGCAAGCTCCTCTAAAGTCGCCAATTCAATATGCCCAGCCCGAAGCCCTGCTTCAGACCTTTAGGGCTAATTTCCTCTAAGACCACCTCAGCCACCTGTTCCTTCAACGACCAATTCATTGCTATAGGTTACCCTCATCTGGGCTTCACGGCGGACCTCTTTCGGCATGGCTCTCCCGGAACGTTTTAAGCCATAAGTTTTGCCATAGTCCGCCGTTCTCCCACCCAGCGCCCAGCGCACCATCTGCGGCCTCATTCCTGTTCGAAGGTTCTGTTCAATGTGTATCAAGGCACCCGATAGCTATAAATAGCTACATTCGTTACGAGCAGTCCAGTATGTTAAACCTACAAAGGTAAGGGCCATCAGTGTGCATTCGTTTGCGCCTCTTCTACACCATGGTGCCATGTGTGGAAGGGAAGGTGTCGTGGCATTTTAGCCAAAGTTTATTGAAGTCACCAATTATGCGAGCCAAATTACACATGTATCGATTTCCCTACCAGATGCAGCCAAAAGTTTACCTTAAGACGCACCGTTCTCCTTTGGAGCTTTTCCGTTGGTTTCAAAAATTGCGGAACCTTATACTAAATATTCGATTCTCAGCAAGCAGTCTTCCAGAGAATTTCCGTCGATATATAATAAATCATGGAAAACACTTTCCTACGCCGCCTTTTTCGCCTAAAAAGATATAGGGGCTCTGATCATTCTTCGTCCAAGCCAAGTGCTTCTTACGTCACTGATCTACACACCAGCCACACTCCAGACACCAGCTACGGCACCCATGATACTCCAGATACTCGCTATAAGCCACCTCTTGGGAGTGCTCCAGATACTAGCTATGAACCACCTCTCGATTTCGGCAGTGATCCAGACTTGACTAGCTATGAACTATCTACTTACACTCCTCTCAACACCAGCAATTATCCACACATCCATGATACCCTATACCCTAGCTATAGCCAACGCACCTATGCCACTCCTGGCTTGGGCTATGATCTGCTTAGGTATTACCTTGGGGCTCGATACACCAGCGACGTCAAACCGGAAATCGGCCAAACCCTGTATGCAATCGTAGAAGTTAGCGGTTTGCCAGTGGATTATCATAGACAACAGCTCGCCTGTGAAATCAGAGCCGGGCCGAGGTATTTTACCTACGCGACTGTGGCTAATCACGATGGGTGGAACATTAAGGACGCCTTGGGTTATGACCAGTTCACGTGGCATCTGCTCCCAAAGGCTCTGATCGACGAACTAGAAACGATGGCCTGGCCATACATACTTGGGCAAGGTGTTCTTGTTCGAGACGTCAGTAAACACACAGCACTAATGTCTCTCGCTGAAGCCGCTATAGTTCAGTTTTCGGCCAGTGCTGGACTTCTTGAATGTTTTCTATTTATAGTCGATAGCAGTTTCCACTACTTCCGAAGGAACGAAATTCTGAAGGGGTACACTATCGAAGCTTTTAACGGGATCAGAAAGGTCACGGTGAAGACTCTGAGCATTCCAGTTCAAGGCGGTGGTTGGGTGTTGGGCATGCAGAGTGACTCTAGGCTAGAACAAGATGCTCTGGAGATGTTAATGTGGCTACAGAACATTATGAATTCGACGGTTGAAATGCAACAGAAAAAAGATGGTATAGCCATTATAAAACCGCTTTCAACGGTAAAAACCACCATGGTTAGGGTTGAACAGAATATGACAAGGTACATGAATCTCGAGCAGGATACTTTGGCAGCACTCCATGGCGCTACGATTGATCCAGATACATACCAGACGACAGTAAATAATCCGAAAGAAGCATCTGGCTGTTGGCGGGAAAAAATAGCGAACGGTATAGTTCTTGACGTCCAACAGCTGTTTCATCGTTCCGAACAGCCATTACCATATTTGCAGACGAAGGAGCAGCATCCCCCCGAGGATTGTCTTTTTCTCACTGCAGGTGCTATGTGGTCACTATTCGACAACGATCTCGTACAGAAATGCTCCTGTACATTCGCACATCCGGTTGGGCTT